AAAAAAGAAGAAGGGGGAGGAGAAAGAAGGAGAACGGTCGAGGAGGAGGAGGAGGAGGAGGACAACGATGATGATGCTGATGCGTGGCTGTGGGGAAGAGGAGAGGGGGAGGAGATTGATGAGGAGGACAGAAGAAAATCGAGATGAAGGAAGATGAGGAGGAGGGCATACGGTCCTTCGGGATATCCGTTAAAATTGGCACGATACAGAGAAGGGGAAATTTGCAAATGGCCCCTGCGCAAGGATGACACGCATAAATCGAGAAATGGTGCAAACTAAAAAAAAAAAGAAAAAAAAGAGGAGGGCATACTCACACTAGGTAGGTGGGGACCTTTGCGATTCAGCTCTGGACGTCATTTGTGGCTTCATACATTCAGTTCTGGCCGTAATTGCAGTCAGATCCATCTAGACAAGTCCTGGTGTGAGTACGCTCGAAATGTCTGGATACATTTGGGAGGGTAGAATTAGGATATTAGCATCGTCGATTCGAATGGAAAAAATAAAAAAAAAAAAAAAAAAAAAAAAAAAAAAAAAAAAAAAAAAAAAGAAAAAAAAAAGGGGGAAAAAAAAAAAAAAAAAAAAAAAGAAACAATAAAAAAGAAAAAAGAGAAAAGAAAAAAAATATATATATATTTTTTATAGCAAATATGGATATTAGCATCGCACGCCGGGTCTTTTCAAAGTACGAACGTAAAACTGAATTCCTCTTGCATAGGAAAAAGTACAACTGTCTTCCCGCGAACATAGCGCACCCTGATTATGAATGTATGGAACCGATATTTCCGGTCGGGTGCGCGGTGATGATGGGGGTGCGTTGTGTTCGGGGGAGGAAGGGCGGTGGAATTCCGACAGAGGTAATCCCTTGTGCTACCGTATTATTTTATATTTATGTTCATATTTATATGAACTGAAGTGGTCCGAGAGTGCTCTGTGCTACTAATACTTTTTTTTTCCAAATATATTTATATGAACTGAAGTGGTCCACGTGGCGGTGGTTTCATGTGGGACTTGTCATCCGGGTTCTTTTTTTTATCCTTTTTTAATTCTAGTTGGCTGGTTCCCGTTGTTCGGCCTAGTGTAGTGAAGGAGCTGGGCGGTGCTGTTAGGTGGGAATCGAATCGTCATATGGCATCTGGGATTGTCTGCTTTATTCTTTTTTTTTTGCCGCTGGTGGTGGTCCCAGTATTGCAGTATTTCAGTTTGGAGCAGCGAAGCATGGGTCGAAACTGAAATACTGGGACCACCACCAGATAGGGGATTGTTGTTTTTGCAGGCGAGTACGAAGGGTTTGTAATGTGGGGGAATTGATTTTTTTTGCAGGCAAGGAAGGGTGTTGATTTGATTGATATCCTGGTTGGTGATTGTCCCGTCGTTTGGCCTGTTGTGAGGGGGAGGGGGCGGTGCTTGCATGTGGGACTTGTCATCCAGGATCTGTTATGTTTGTTTCCCCCTGTTTTGTTATATTTGGCTGTTCCCTTTTGGCTGTGTGCAAGTGGGTCGATATGCCACACGGGGGTGGGGGCAGCCGCCGCTCAACCACATCCAATCCAGGATCTGTTATGTTTGTTTCCCCCTGTTTTGTTATATTTGGCTGNGATATGCCACACGGGGGTGGGGGCAGCCGCCGCTCAACCACATCCAATCCAGGATCTGTTATGTTTGTTTCCCCCTGTTTTGTTATATTTGGCTGCTCCCTTTTGGCTGTGTGCAAGTGGGTCGATATGACACACGGGGGTGGGGCCAGCCGCCGCTCAACCTACATCCACGTGGGCGGCCTTGTACGCAAGAGGTTCTGAACAGGGGGAGTTATAAGGAAGAAGATTAAATCATGAATTCATTTTTTCCTGTTTTCTTTCGTTCTCTTTCTTCTTTCTTTTTCCTTTTTTCCGCTTTTGCGCTCTGATATGCTTGTGACGATATATATTATTTGGCTGTTCCCTTCCTCTTTTCTTTGCCTCTTTGCCTTTTGACTGTGTGCAAGTGGGTCGATACGACACACGGGGTGGGGGCGGCCGCCGCTCAACCTACATCCACGTGGGCGGCCTTGTCCGCAAGAGGTTCTGAACAGGGGGAGTTATAAGGAAGAAGATTAAATCATGAATTCATTTTTTCCTGTTTTTCTTTCTTTTTTCCTTTTTGTTCGCATTTGCGCTCTGATACTCTTGTGACAATATGACACTCTTTCTGTTTCTGACATTCTTCAACATCTTCGGTTTATTGTTACAAATACATATTTGTATACAGCGGATGGCCTTGTTCGTCATCAAGATGTCGGTATCCCTATGGGTACAAACGCWGGTCCTGAGATTGCCAATCTTACACTCTATTGGGATGAGGCGCAG